TTGTATAATAGATGATATAAATCCTCGAATAAAATAGTACTTGATGCTTAGTTTCAATATCATAAACAGTGGTAATATTTGTGTTGGACATGCCGCGATGATATTTCGCAGTTTTTACGATGCAGTATAATGAGTATATAGTTTGTGTCGCAATAATCATGAACGGCTTAATAACGTAATGGAGATTTAATTAGCAATAGCAGTAATAGAATCATAGTATTAAGCAACACGGCTCTGTATCATAATTGGGGCCTAAAATGCAAATCAACATAAGTAACTTGATTTTTTTCTTATTTTATTGAATTAGCTACTCCTGTGATAGCTGAGATAATACAAATACTAAAATTTTCAACTAGGTGTACAGTGAAGTAGCCACTGAAACATAACGAATAATATAATAGCATAAAAAAATATTTAACCCCTGGAAAAATTATTATTTTGACTTTTATGGAAATACCACGAATTATGTTCCCTTCAGGGCACATGGTCAGGGCTGACGAGAGGGGAGGGGGGCGAGGAGGCAGCTGCACCGAGACCCAGCAGTGGGATACTTCAAAGCTCACTAGCAATGCAGACTACTTAATGAGCTAAAATGGCTACTGCTTTTTCATGGATTCATGAAGAATTTTGTCACCTAAATTTCTTTCATGAAAAATCAGCAAAGGTTAATAAATAGAAGGAAATGGTGGCTCGAATGATATTACTGACCCCGGGGCCTGGACTGGCTCTCCGTGCCAAAAACTGAGCACATATAGCTGTCGACAATTTTTTTTTTGTAATAATAGGAATACTGTTATTCGTGATTAATAAATGCACAGACATCAAGATTTTATAGTTAATGATAAGAAGTACAGTTAAGTCGTCTTAGTGTGTTAGTGGTAAATTTATGAACTTTCAATGACAACATCTAGGATTCGATTTTTCGTGGTGTACAAAGCGCAAAGTCCATTAAGTAGATTTGCGCTAAAAAAAAACTTGGCTAAATAAAATTTTAATATAACAATGTTCATGCGTTTCATAACTCCAGCAACACTATATCGTTGGTTTTATTTTTAACAATTACAGGACATTATTGCAGATTGTACAGTTCTTGAACGAATGAGCTCTCTGTGTCTTAACTGTTTTATTCATATTAGGATAAAGTCGTAGAAATGTTATTAACACACAAAAAACAACAATAAAATTGTAGAAATGAATTGGGTTAGAGGCTAACTTTAACCAAAACAATTGTATCTTTTTTTCCATTGTTACAGAAATAAAATGAAGCTAGAGTATGGGGGTTAAAAATACATTTGAGAACGAAAATATGATTTAAGAATAATAAAAACACACACACAAACACATAATCACTGACTATAAATAATCACTGTGTGGAACGAACCTTATTAATAACCTTTTTTCCCCCGAAGTTAAAAACAAATTCTTCTGGTGTGGAAATCGTGACGTCCTTCCCGTTCAGGCGGAAGTTGTCTTTATCCTTGTGAACTAGGTGGATTCCAGACATGGATTGTCTTTGAAAAATAATAGAAATAATTTTTACATAGTTATTCTTTAATAAAATGATAACTTTCATCGATAGGATAATCAAATAATTACACATTAAATCATGTTTACCTAGCAACTAGTGTTCTCTTGGACTCAAAGCTCTGTGTTATCTCCAAATTATGTTGAACGTTTACGTTATAAAGAAGGCGATACTAATCGTAATACTTATAGGAGCATGTTCTTCGTCTGCTTCTCGCACTGTTTAAAAATAAAGCTTATGGATGTATTGAAAAACATCATCATTTTCACGAAAAACGACTGATATACATATTAAGAAAGAGAATGTAGGTTACCTGATGGGACAGCGGTAAGTTTAAAGACTTACAATGCCAACAACTGGGTTTCGATTCCTCACGGTGGACACAGCGTATAGCATAGCGTGGCTTTGTTCTAAAACAAACGAGAGTGCAGAAAAGAAAGAAAACAGAAAGTTTTACATTACTCACGACTTTCATAATAGTGCAGATTAGCATATCTATTGTGAGCAGGGAATCCATGCTGCTTACTTTCATTAACAAGTCGAAGCCCATAAGGACACCTGGTTCTCCACCAGCTCTCAACAAAAATGTATGTAGTTTTATCTTTAAAAAAAGGCTACCAATTTATTTTCGATTGATGGTGCTTATATTTGTTATATCACTTAGATACCTTTAGTTCGCTAATTCACCTGATATACATGTACTGCTTATTTTTTGTCTCTTTCTCTCTTCTGTTTTAAATAAACTTTTAGGTTTGGTTTGATTGTTGTTAAGCGCAAAGCTACACAATGGGCTATTTTTGATCTGCCCACCACGAGTATTGAAACCCGGTATTTAGCGTTTTAAGTCTGCAGACTTACCTTTGAGCCACTGAGGGTCAAACTTTTAGGATAGGTAGGCTGAATATACCAGGTGATGGGTTTGCTCAGATTAATCGTAAATGCAAGGAATTTGGTCTTATCAGACTTTTATACTTTAATTCTTGAAATTGTGAAGAAAAGTAACGAAAAACTTCCAATCGGATCAAAGAACTCAGTTGAATAGGTCTGAGTTTGGCAGTAACTTGGAGAGCAGTTTAGCACGACTGCATCACCTCAACCATGTATGTTTGTTTGTTTTGAATTTCGCGCAAAGCTACACGAGGGCTATCTGCGCTAGCCGTCCCTAATTTAGCAGTGTAAGACTAGAGGGAAGGCAGCTAGTCATCCCCACCCACCGCCAACTCTTGGGCTACTCTTTTACCAACGAATAGTGGGATTGACTGTCACATTATGACGCCCCCACGGCTGAAAGGGCGAACATGTTTGGTGTGACGGGGATTCGAACCAGCGACCCTCAGACTGCGAGTCGAGTGCCCTAACCACCTGGCCATGCCGGGCCACTCAACCATGTAAAGTGATGGAAATAATATGAGGGAGTGTTGGGCTGGGATATTTTAGACAGTGATAGAAATATATATAGAATAATGATAAAACATCAAGGGGTGCCAAATGCTTCGTTCAGCACCCCGACTTGACATAATCGAATAAAACCGCTTTGGGACATTTTGGAGCAATATCTGAAGGCTTGAATGGACAAACCTTAAAATCTCCTTACAAATGAGTATGCTTTATAAAAAAAGAGAGGTGTTCTGTGTCATTAGATGTACAAACGGTTTTAGTAACAGAGTCCAGGCTGTGACTAACTTGAAAATGGATTTTTCTCTTATTATTACACTGAGGTTCCAGTAATGAAACACAACATTTTCCTTCTTCCCAAAATGTTCTTGTATAGCGTATATGCATTTATAAATGCAAAGTCTTAAGTCAAAATTAACGTTAAAAACTAGTTGAACATTTATACTTTAAACCCGGTTTCGCTTAGTCATCATTCGAGTGACTCTGATTATGATTTTATGACCGAGTGTACACACTGTGGTATAAAAAGCGGAGGGAGGGTGCCCCCACTTTTCAACCTGTCCTAGTACAAATGCATCAAAATTAGAAAAATCACTCTCAGGAAAAGCAGGAGAATGCATAAAGTTTAATTCAGAACCCTAATGCGAGCCCTAAATACCGGTCGTAATGGGTGTGCCTGTGGTAACATTCCCTCGCTTCGCTCGATCAAATATACTTCAAGACCCTCCACTATTAATTTGCCTCCAGCACCTTTGACATATTTATGGTATAAACTCGTTTTAGTTATGGTTTACATCGACTCATTTCTAATTCTTTTAATTTTTAAAGTTTTCCTTACAAACGGATGTAATATATATATATATATATATATATGTAATCTCAAATATGAATATATATGTAATTATTAACAACTTTCTTTTCTTTGTTTGGACATAAACGTCCTGGTCATATTCAGGTACATATAACAGCAAGGAAAAGTAACATAAAAACCCTTCATACATCTTGTACATGAGAGACACAGGAAAACTTCTGTCATATTTTATTAGATCGCAGTTATAACAAGGAAAAAAGAAACCGGTTAACCTTGGAATGGTTGTTGTGCGCATTTTATAACAACAATGCTACATGCCAGTTGAAGCATTAATATCTGTGATGTTATAAAATAAATTTTTTAATGCTCCTGGTAGCCATGGGAAGTTGTCATACGTAGTATAAATACAAACTCAAAAGGAAATTCTAGCGTGGACATATAAATATTCAGGATATTTTGAACTAGGAATCTCCCAACCTTAGTATGAGAAAGGCAGTTGGGTTTGGGATATATAGAAAAACAAAACCAACAAGATTTGTCTTACTTGAGCGAATGTGAAAGTAGATCACTGTGTTTATTCATGTCGTCTTCTGACAGATTTTAATAGCGAAATAATTTCATAAACAAAATTTTGAGCACTACCTTGTGCTTGAAAAAGAAAATAAATCCAACAACATTCTGTTTTAAACTTTTGAATCTGCCAATAACTTTGTTTGTTTGTAGTTAAGCACAAAGCTACAAAATAGGCTATCTGTGCTCTGCCCACCACGCGTATCGAAACCCGGTTTCTATCGTTATAAGTCCACAGACATGCCGTTGTGCCACTGAGGGGCGTATCAATATCTTAAAACAGACACAGTTTAATGATGATGTTCATTGTGTTAGTTATGACATCGAGTCACTTGTTTATAAATATACTAACTAAGTATAATAAGATTGAAGTGTTCCATGTTTTGTAACGAAACAAACACATTTTATGTTTAACTATAATATCTACGAACAGAATGACGGAGTGGCTATCGGATCTAGTTTTGCTTCTGACCTTGCTAGCCTTTTACTATACTTCCATGAAAAAAGTTTGGTTACAGTTGTGTCTGAACTTCTTAAGCTTGTATGTTACAGAGAGTATGTAGATGACACTTTTATGGTGTTTAACAACGTTTAGTTGGTTAAGGAATTTATCCAGTATTTAAATGGTAAATAACCCAATATATAGTTCACTTTTGAAAATCAACAGAATGACAAACTCTTGTTTTTAGATGTACACGTCTTAAATAACTAGAGTATACTTACCACCAAAGTGTATCATAAACCCACTCCTATTGTACATTATTCACAATCTTAAAGTTCCAGTCTTTCAATTTTTAAAGCTTGTTTGTAGTTAAGCACAAAGCTACACAAGTTGTAAGTTCGCAGACATACTACTGTGCCACTGGGAGGGGGGATTTTTAAAGAAAAACTTGTTAAAACTCTAAAACTGAATACCCCATTTGTTTTAATGTGTTACAAAGAAAATGGTTATTTTAGTCATTGAAATAACAGAAAGAATGGGAAGGACAAGAATCACGAAGTTAAAACTGAAAATTCGATTTCACTGATTTGAAATCAAATTTACCAGAGAGATTTTGGATTTTATGTACTGAAAACCTGTAAGCACTATAAAAAATGGAAAATTTGATAATATAAACTGGTTACCTTTCTAAACTAAAATAAAAAGGAAATTTGTTACTTTTCTAAGTACCATATTTTTTTCACGTCTCGGGACGAGAGAACTGCTTAACATCTGAAATTTTCTTGAAATTTTAGAAAATGATTTCAGCTATATAAAACATTATTTAGTCAGTGAAATTAATCTGTTGATTAATGGTGGATTTTTGAGTCTGTTACTAACTACTGAGTTACTGAGACTGTTAGTCAGTTTGAGTGTTAGTTAAGTATTGTGAATATTTAGTTTCTATTTCGACAAAGAAACTAGAAATACAAGAATTTAGCAAGTAAGTGAAATTATTGTATTAGTGTCTACTGTGGACTTAGGCCTATCAGCGAACATTAGTTAAGTTAGCATGTAAAACTTCAATTCTAAGAAAAAGCACTTCCATTATCATTAAGTAAACATGACATGATTTTGTAATATTATTTTATGAATAACTCAAATAACCTTTTTAAGGATAGAAATAGTTACAACAATATTAATCAAAGGCGCTCTCTAACGATTACTGAGAAGAAATAAGCAAATTGGTCGAGTATAAAGACTAAACTTGGAGTTTAAAAGTATTTATTCACAGCATATTAAGCCAGCTAGATTTTGAATGTTTTTCTCCATCTATAAATCGAATTGGAACAATATAAATTAGTAATTAAACTTACAATTATCAATGGATCATATCGGGTTTATAAGCACGTTCTTTTAAACTATTTTTGTATCAAACTGCTTGTGAATCCATTAATTTTCGATTACACAGCCCCGAGTAACATACGAGCCTCACAAAACAATAAACAAAAAGTGTTATTAATATTGTAATTAATTCCACTAATTATTGCTAAAGTTCCTATGTATTTTTAGAAAACGAATACTTCGAAAATTGTTTTCGTTAGTTCTTTACTCTAAGTGTTGTAATAGGTAAGATAACGACAAAAACCCAATGTGATGCATAACATGAATAACATGTTTCATACACATTTAGAATGACAATAAAATGAAGTTATTTTAATCGTGATAGTCATATATTAACATTATTTACATCGTGATAGCCATATATTAATATATATTAATCGTGATAGTCATATATTAACATATCTTAATCGTGATAGTCATATATTAACATATCTTAATCGTGATAGTCATATATTAACATATCTAAATCGTGATAGTCATATATTAACATTATTTAAATCGTGATAGCCATATATTAACATAATTAATCGTGATAGCCATATATTGACATATTTTAATCGGGATAGTCATATATTAACATATGTTAATCGTGATAGTCATATATTAACATTATTTAAGTCGTGATAGCCATATATTAACATATATTAATCGTGATAGTCACATATTAACATATTTAAATCGTGATAGACATATATTAACATATTTTAATCGTGATAGTCATATATTAACATATTTAAATCGTGATAGACATATATTAACATATTTTAATCGTGATAGTCATATATTAACATATTTTAATCGTGATAGTCATATATTAACATATCTAAATCGTGATAGTCATATATTAACATATGTTAATCGTGATAGTCATATATTAACATATCTAAATCGTGATAGTCATATATTTTAAGATGTAGTTCAGCTTTAACGATTTAATTCTTGGACTGTTGATATACTGATGACGTAGAATTAATATTTCAGATTTTAAAATGCACTTTGTTGAGCTTCATAATGTCAATGGTTACGTCTATACTCGAGTGATTGTCATCGTTCAGGAGATGTATTGATAGTAAATGGATGTTTTTGAAATACCCTGAAAAGACATATCAATTTTTGTTATTTGTCTATGTCTACTGAACTGCTGGAGAGAAAACTGGGAGATCTGTCCAAATTCTTGTCTATGAAATACATCAGTGAAATACGATGGGTAAATACCGCTCAGGAGTTAGTAATACAAGAAAAATACGACGGTCAAGTACCACTCAGGAGGTAGTAATACAACAAAAATACGACGGGCAAGTACCACTCAAGAGGTAGTAATACAACAAAAATACGACGGGCAAGTACCACTCAGGAGTTAGTAATACAACAAAAATACGACGGTCAAGTACCATTCAGGAGTTAGTAATACAACAAAAATACGACGGTCAAGTACCATTCAGGAGTTAGTAATACAACAAAAATACGACGGTCAAGTACCACTCAGGAGGTAGTAATATAACAAAAGTACAACGGGCAAGTACCACTCAGGAGGTAGTAATACAACAAAAATACGACGGTCAAGTACCACCCAGGAGGTAGTAATGCTACTGCTAGTCCTTACAGTATGTTTAACATGATCACAAGTAGTGAATTCCAAGTTAAGCTAAGAAATATTGTTGATGGCATTTTATGCTGAACCAATCAGAATAAACAGTCAGAAATATAAGAGCCAAACACCTTAATTACAATGTTAGCTCAAAATTAAAAGATATTCTAAAAACCTTACAAATAAAAGTTTTAATTAAACTCACCTTAACTTCATATTGTGTTTCTGGATGTGTACGGCTTGGTCACAATCGGGTGAAAGAGAAATATTATTTTTCTTATTCGTTTCAATTTCTTCTTCATCTGACAGTAGAAACCTTACTTGTTGTATTTCTCTGGAATTGAAGTAAGTAAATACAATGAACAAATATCAGAATTATTATGTGTATTACATTATCAGTACTATGTTCTAGCAATAAAAGAATTGTGTAGGCGAGGAAATTAGAAAATATATATAAGTATAATAGTACTGTCTGTTGTATGTCCATGTAACTACTTCGCAGGGTTTGGATGGATCTTCATCAAAATTGACGTGGAGGTTCATTAGGTCCATGCGAGTGTACATAAAAAAATTCAGTTTTGCATTTTTGCATTTTTTTTTACCACTGCTTCGCTACTTCTAGATGGATCTTCACCAAATTTCACCCTGCTTCAAAAGTAATACTGTCTAAGCTGTAGACGACTCCTACGCTGCCAAAATTTTAAATTTATGACCCCTAGTTCTATTGTTTTCACTGCTAAACCCAAAAAGTTTGATGGATCTATATTATCAATACCCTTAATAATCTTAAACACTTCAATCAAATCCTCTCTGACACTTCTCC